CGTGCCATTTAGGCCCTCCCGAGTATCATGCATGTGGACCCGGGGTCCACTAGTGTTTTATGTGATATTTATGCTTATTTTACCATATCATGATGTTTGGAGTTGCATGTCACCGGAAATGTTGCCGGAGGTCCGGCAAGGGCCGGCCTTGGTCACTGCCCGCGCACATAGCGCGCCAGTGCCCGGCCCAGTGCCAGTCCGTGCCCGCGCCAGCGTGCGCGAGGCACCAGTGTCCGCGACAGCGCGCCCGCAGTGCCTGTCCGCGTCGTACCCGGGGTCGTGGCGCCCGTCGCGCCCAAGCAACCCCGACAGCGCCTGGCCGCGCTGTCCCAGCCTCAGTGCACGCATGGCCTCGCGTGTCATGCGTAGCCGACCTCGGGTCGTGCCAGTGCCACGCCCGAGCACGCAGTTGGCCCGGGATGTGCCCAGCAGCACACCCGCGTGCCCAGGGACGCCCGGCAGCGTCCGTGCCAAGCCCAGCGCACGAGGTCTCGTGCCAGAGCCTCGTGCCAGGTCCAGGGCTGATCCAAGCCGGGTCAGCTGAGCCAGTCGGTCTCGGTGCATGTCCCAGCAGCATGCCCGAGTGCCCAGTGTCCTCGGGACGGCCCGGCAGCGCCCTAGGGGCCTCTGTCCGCGCCTTCCCCGTGCCAGCCGCGTCTGGCCAGTGCCTGTCCGTGCCCAGCCGCACGACAGCGCCTCAGTCGAGCCTCGGCCGTGCCCAGCACGCACCCGAGGGGCACCAGTCGTGCCCGGGCCGTGCCAGCAGCCCCTGGCCGTGCCCACCAGCGCCAGTCCGCGCCAAGACATGTCCAGCGGCCCCAGGGACCGAGCCCGGTCGCACCAGCCGTGCCCAGCGCCGTGCCCGGGCACCAGCTGGCCCGGCACGGGACCGAGCCCGGTCTAGCCGAACCCAGCCCGACCGCCCGGCCCAGTCGAGCCGGCGGTCCGGCCGGTTCGACCGGCGGTTCGAGTCAGTTTTTACTCGTGATTTCTGATCCGAGTCCAGTTCCGGAAATTTCAGTATTTTTCCGAGCCAGTCCAGTCCAGTTTAATCGCGTAGATAAGTCCGAGCATTTTAGCATAAAATTAAATATTCTGAGCATTATACTTAGCATTATTTTGCTTAAACATTTATGTAGCCTAAGGAGAGTCGAGCCTCCGACCGCTACTCCAGCGTCCGCACTTGCATACCAGATTTCAAGTATTCAGGTGGGGGTCATGTACTGGATGTCACATCATAGATAATATCTGTACCATGGCAGAGGTATCTTTGAGACAGTTTAGTTCCGGGTTGGGTGGCCGAGGCCTTTATACCCACTTGATGACCGTTGGGAGGGGCGAGGCCCTTTCTACCCCATCGGCGTGTGCACACGAGCGGCTACGGCCGAGGGTCTTTTGACCACAGATCAGAACAGACATCAGAGATCAGTTTACAGTTTCAGCTCTTATATATTTATGTTTCATGATACGTTATTATAGATGATGTTTTGTTCAGTACTGGTCTTTGCGGAGCATAGTGGTTTGCTCACGCCCCCATTGTGTTTTTCAGGAGACGGAGTCGAGTGTGCCGGATGAGCATAGATGTGGCGCAGCGTGGTCATGAGAGTCGGACATATTTTACCAGCATTTTTATGTCCTAGAATTATGATCATGTGTATTTTATTCGGTTTATGTACGCATGTTATGTATTCGTATTTCGGATGCTTCCGCCAGCGAGTTTTCTAGACAGTGCGAGACAGTACAAACTACGCATGTATAATTCCATAATCCGCGGGCGGATAGTTTGGTTGCATGTTTTTATTATGTCTGCGGGCAAGCCCGAGTTCAGTTTAAGTTTTTATCTGCCACATCCCGCAATAAGTCAATATTTTCGAAAACCCAGCTCGCACGTTCTTTCGAAAATAAAAATAAAAATTTTACTCTGATTTTCAAAGCTAGTAGTAAGGCGGGGTGTGACAAATATTGCCCCTCGGTCGTCAAAATTCATAGGGGGCCCTGTTTTCTTCATCCGAGTTGCATCTCCGCGGTGGTGCCAAATACTCGCTTTTTTGTCTAAGTTGGCTTAGGGAAATACAGAGACAAAAGGTAGGTCAGCTAGTCAGTGCACTTGGGATAAAGGGGAAGCTTGGCTTAGAGAGTAGCTTTTCCGTCTTTCTTCCGTCTTTTAGTATTGTTCGAGAGCTTGATGAAGACGTGCCTTGGCAGACGATTTGATTCTTCAGTCAGGCTTTTCCTCACTTTGAACCTGTCTGCTTGGACGATGTCCATGGGATGGGGACGGACTGAATCTTGCCCATGGTCAGAGAACGATAACCAGGACTACCAGGCCCTATGATGACATCTGCAGCAGATTCAATGGCCTCGGTCCGAAGATGGCAAAGGAGTTCACGTCGGAGATGATCAGACATGCATCAGAATGGTTATGAATATAGCTCGGAGAGGAAGACAAGGACAAGAGTTCCCCTCAGAAAAGGCGCCATAGGCCGAGCTGCGTTTTCTTGCTGGTCCGAAACTAGAATAGCTGGAGTCGGAAAGGGCTCGTACCTCGGCACTATTTTCACATGAAACAGCCTCCTAGAAAGTATCAGGATCCACACTAGTGATCGTAAGAGCAAATGACACCATATCCTCATAACCAGGGGGGTCGCTTCGGTTTTGGGTCTGGGATGAATAGATTCAAGAGATGAGAGAATTAAGGATACCGACCAGAAAGACTAACCTATTGACAGGGAGCATTGGGATTGTTCCTGTAGAAGTGATAGCTAAGGCAGGAGCCATCTCCTTCTTAAGGTTAGTTCCACTTTCCAGGACCGATACCGACACTGAAGGACTGAGACCGACAGCTTAGACGAGAACAAAAAAAGGGGAGAAAGTTCAGGACAGAGTTGGGCGTATAAACTTCCTTGGCTCCAGCCATACCAGTAGATTAAAAAATCAGCAAAGCAAAGTTCAGTCAAGAATATGGTCGAGACTCACAAGCCCTCCTCTCCCTTTGGTCGAGTATCTTCAAACCTTTCGAATCAATCTTTCTACCAATGATCTTACTGATCAGCTGTAGTGACGTCTGGATTAGCACAACTATTGGGATACCTTCACGGGCACAGGCTTTTGAGGAGAAGTAGGAGAACTCGAGTAAAGGTAGGCCCGGGGCTCTTTCCTTTGCCCAGCCTAGCGGGGCTATCAGGTACTCTGACACCTCAACCATTGTCCCAAGCCTCTAAGAAGCTGGGGAGTTAACAGATAAGCCTCATAAGCAACATAATGCTGAGGTGAGCGCTCGTTCCAGGTCTTTCCGGGGCCTTCCAGGTCAATTTGGATTAACCGCATCAACAGGATCTACATCCGTTGGGGCTTGCAATGATTCAGTTTTTAACGTCGTAAGAAGGTAGCCATAGGGGAGGAAACCCGTGGCTGGCTATTGATCCTTGATGTCCTGGAATCACCTGTGAGGGCTTGTTTGTGGGCCCTAGAGTCAAGCTCAAGAGGAAAAGTAGATGGTCCAAACCCTATCAGTAAGAAGAACTTTGCTGCAGGTAGGCTCGGAGAATTGGAATAGAGCCTAAAACCGTTGATTCAATTTTCCACGCTCACTGCCGCAGCCGTAGACAGATGCCTTGAGTGCCTAACTCGATTTCACCTACCTCTGATATCAAAAACGATTGATTCAATTCATCTGATCCTATCTCTTGCCCCTGTCTGGTTCTGGGCCCGTTCCTGCCGAGAAACTACAAGATGGGTCAGTAATAAAAGAAGTATTTCTTATCGAAATTATTCAGTAGAGTCGAATGAAGATACGATTGCTTTAGTGAATGTTCTTTTGAGGCAGGGAAAGAGTCTTTAGAAATGTACATCTCAGTTTACTCAATCACAAGAGTCAATTCAATCCGAGAAGAGCTGATAAGTGAATGAAGGAAGTTCAGGTGGAGAAGTTCAGTGATGTTTGTTCCCATGCATGGACAACTAGTCCAAAGAGGTTTCTTTATAGGAAACGGGGGTGAGGACGCTTTGGTTGTTCCTCCCTACGACTTATACCCCTACCCCTTGATGCCCTCGCTAGCACTTATCCATCACTCTAAGAGCTACCGAACAATCTCACTTCGATCAGGCTAGGGATATCTTTGTGCCTAACCGGAGCAGGGGAAGGGAGAGTCGGTCGGCTCAAACCTGCTGAATCCGTAGCTCGGGGTTAACTCGGAAACTCGGGACGAAAGACTTTATTTAGGAGGGACTATTACGTAGTTGGCTCACGTCAGATCTAGAGCATCAGGATTCGAAGAATGTCGGGGCCCGATGCCTTGCCGTGAGAAAATGGCTCTAATGAAACTAACTGTATTTCAGCTCGCGATAAGGAAGAAAGGGAATAAAAAGAATCCACAGCTAAGATACCGAGGCTTGCCAATGACCGATTCCTCAAAGGGGCCTTCTCGTGACCAATTGGGATTCCCCACTTCAGTCCGCTGTAGGATCCCCTTTTTGCAGTAGTACTTCTTATTTTAGTGCACGGTATACCTTGCGTTTGCGCGATAGTTGCTGACGGTATGGAGCCATGAATTGGTCGCAGACCCCATTATGTACTTTCTATGGGAGCCGTTTTTGCTTTATTTGCAGGATTTCACTATTGGTGTTGCTAAGGTCCACGAGTCCTATAGGTTCTCCAGTGTGATCTACTACATTTCGTTATTGTTCAATTACTCTTTTACCTGCAAATGCAATATAGGTGTTAGGTTCAGCAATAATGATATCTCCCAACATAGCAACACTAGCCGTCACCCCACCAGTTGTAGGAGATGTAAGCCTAAGATTGAGCTAGTTCGATGCGCAACGCCAATAAAATATTGCAACATCCTTCTGTTCTGCGCCCGCGGCTGTCTCGACAGTAAGAAATCGACAGCGCTGCATGATGGCTTGGCTCGGCCAAAGAGTAACCTGCGGGGTCGAAGTCTTTGCACGCATAGTTAGCAAAAACAGTCGAGGATAAAGGGCAAAGTAGTTGCGTATAGGTGCCCTCTGCCCCTGTCGTCTGGCTTAGCGGGAGTAGGAGCTATCGGGCCATTCGCCCATCGGTTTTACAATATGAAATCGCGTCGTGGACAATTACCTTCCCATCGTTGACTGAAAAATTGTATTTTTTTTTTTAGCTGAAGTGAATTTAAAAAAATAAATAGCATTTTTTCATTTCATATTGCCTTGGCTGATAAAATTTTTTGGGTCCGCCGCTAGACCTAGAGTTGTAAACGAATCGAACGTTCGCGAACAAAAGCTCGCTCGAGCTCGTTCGTGTTCGAAAAAAGCTCGTTTGTTTGTTAATCGAGCCAAGTTCGAACAGAAAATTAGGCTCGTTTAATAATCGAACGGACACAAACTCGTTCGTGAACGTTCGATTATGTTCGCGAACATTATTTTAATATAATTTAATTTTATTTTTTTATATATTTACATAATATTTTTAATAAAAAAATATAAAAAACTAATATAATTTTAGTTATTTTTTATATATTTACATAATATTTTTGATAAAAAATCTAAAATATAAAATTATTTATTCTTTTATTTTCGAGTTCGAACGAACAAATTTCGAGTTAGTCAAACATATTTAAAAAGTTTATGTATTAAATTATTCGAACACGAACGAACTCGAACTTTGACGAACAATTAAATGAACGAAATCGAACACGATATTTTGCTCAAAAAATAAACGAACGAACACGAACACTGTTCGAACATAAACGAACACGAGCTCGAACAACCGAAGTTCAGTTCGATTCGGTTCGTTTACACTGGACCCAGTTCATCATCTCAAGTCGACCTGATTATCCTGAGGAGCTAACGAGGTCGAGCAAAACAAGTGACTAGCTAAGGGTGGCATCACTATGACATAAAGTCGACGTTGGCAAAAGTGTGCTAATTAGTGCATGACGTAAGGTCGACGCCACTGCGTGATAATCCATAAAAGGAAGTTTACTCCAAAAAAATTTAATTAATTCCTATCTCCCTCAACTTCAACCAACTCAAATCTCAATGCGTGTGAACTGAAAGTCGCAGTCCATATTCTATAAATTTATTTCTCTCTATATAAATGATCTCCTCCCCATTCGCCAGAGTTATAATCACCAGTCTCAGAATTTACACGCCCAAAAGTACAAGAAACGTGTTTTGTTGTTCTCGGTCATCATCATTCATGTGTTTCGAAAATCCCAGAATTGTTTGTAAGAGATTATTAGCCAAGCCCCAGGCCGAGGGTGAGGGCGCTGTGGTCAGAAGAAGCATTGGAAGGTATTTTATCTAATTTTTTTATTTTTTTATTTTTTATTTTTTTTGGGTCATAGATTGGCCGCCGACCATATCAAATTATCAATCAATTATCCATCTTAAACCTTGAATTAAAAGTCAATTGATTTGGGTTATTCCGATTTGAATTCGGTTTTATCAGTTGTAAATAAATCCCCATCGGATTTGTGGAATTTTGTTGATTTGTTTAGACTAGAGCATCCTCCTTATTGGATTTATTTTGGTGTTATTAGAGATTTTATGATGTATAAATTATAATATTTTTTTTTTTTTTTTATTTTTTGTACATTAAAAGTCATATATTGGATAATTGATTTTAAAAAAAAATCTAAAACCGTAAAGTTTAATAATATTCTTTAAATAAAAAATATTATATAAAGAGAAGTGTTTAATAATATATATTTTTCATTGTTTGTATTTATTTTATTTCCATAATAGATAAGATGTGAAAAATATAAAGAATTATATTTAAAATAAAATCTAAAAAAAAAAAAAAAAATTAAAATAAATAGGCATGTACTGGTTTAGAATTCAGGCTCTAAGAACTCAAAATATTTTAGGGAGGAATCACACATCAAGATTTTGCTGGTCATAAGGGCACAATACATGCCGGTGAAGTGCAGGTTAGCATGGCATGAGTAAAATATTTTAATCAAGATAACAAGAAATGACAATTTCTCAATGTACTTATTTCCATGCGAAATTTTAACATTGTTTTTATCAAACCAAACAGTGGATGACCGCTGGCAGGGGCATCGTTCATTCGGAAATGCCGGCTGGTGAAGGTACCAACACTGGTCTGCAGTTATGGATCAATCTCTCAGCCAAGGATAAAATGTAGGTTATATTCCAAATTGAGTAAATTGTAATTTTAGTTCTGTATGTTTTACTACCCTAACTTTTCTGTCCTCTTCGAATTGCGTTTTTTATTTTCGTCTCGTATGTTTGCAAAAAGGTTACAAAAGAGTCATTTTCGCAACAAAAAAGGTCCTTTATGTTTTGCAAAAAAAAAAAAAAAGTTCCAATTTCGTTCCTTACCTTTTTGCTAACATATGGGACGAAAATAAAAAATGCAATTCGAAGAGGACGAAAAAGTTAGGGTAGTGAAACATATAGGACTAGAATTGCAATTTACTCTTCCAAATTTACCTATCTTCTCTTGTCAACTAAAATTTGTATAGGGACTATTATTTTTCTGATTGCTAGTTTGATTGGAAAAAAATAAAAATAAAAAATCATATATTTGTTATTATGCAGGATTGAACCGAGATATCAGGAATTGGTGGCGAATGACATCCCAAAGGCCGAGAAAGATGGTGTGGAGGTTAAAGTCATAGCAGGAGAAGCAATGGGTGTCCACTCTCCGGTTTACACGCGGACCCCAACTATGTTCCTCGATTTCACTCTAAAACCGAATTCTCAGTATCACCAAAGCATTCCGGGATCTTGGAATGCCTTTGTGTACATCATCGAAGGTGAAGGCGTGTTTGGCGTCCCGAATTTTCCCCAAACAGAAGCTCACCACATCTTGGTTTTGGGCCCTGGAGAGGGCCTAAGTGTGTGGAACAAATCGTCATCTGCCAAATTGAGGTTCATTTTGGTGGGTGGGCTGCCGCTGAACGAGCCCGTTGTGCAGCACGGGCCTTTTGTGATGAACTCTCAGCACGAGATTGAGAAAACTATTGAAGATTATTATTATGGCAGGAATGGGTTCGAGATGGCAAGGCACTGGAGATCTAATTGAGCCTGCTGAAAATCTCCATATCCTGATTCTAGATGATTTAATACAAGTTATGTGTTGCTGAATGAGATTTTTTTTTTTTTTTTTTTTTTNCAATGATGTTATACGTTTGTAAGCGTTGGTCATAGACTCATAGCTTGTGGAGGGGTTAATACTTTTCCTTGTGAGTGGGTCTAATCTTGACCCCTCCACATTGGCTGTAATTTGTAGAAACACTCGAGTACAGAGATGGAAAAAGGTTGTTGATTGTGGGAAAATTGGTGTGGAAATGAATAAAAGAGCTCTTTGCTTCTATTCTATTGGTCCATCATTAAGTGAATAGAGACTCGTTTGTGAGATTAAGAGGTGTGTGTATTCAATTAGGACTTTTAGTGATTTTTTAGTGAATTTTTAAGACTTTTCAAATTTGGGTGACTCAAAAGAGGAGAGGAAAAACTTCCATAAGAAGAGAAGAACCGAAAAGACCTAACAAACTACAACCTACAAAACCTACTAGAAATTGGAAACACAACACCAAAGAGAAAAAGCCAGCAACACCCTCCCCACAGGACGGCAACCCCATCGCCAACACAAACCAAACAAACACCCAGACACGGTCAACCGAGGAGTGACCCCAAGAACTGCAACCATGGCGCTCGTAACAGAGTGGAACCACTTCAGTGTTGGAGAGCCGAGAGACCACCTTGGCCACGCTGATGGACCGAGCCAGATGCTCGCCGGAGACACGGGGACGATGGCCGCCCGACGGGGATGCGGGGTCCCAACGGTGCATACTTGCACCGCACCTTCTACTGTGCTTTTTAAAGACCCTTAGATCAAATTAATTTAATCAAGTGGTCCAAAATGTTTCCCACTCTTCTAATTGATTTCCCACTTGTATTAACTCCTTATTGGTTTCAAGTAATAAAGAAAATCTCAAAATTCAGGATTCCTTTTTATCTAAAGATACATCTAACAATAGATGTTAAAAGATCCAATGGCCACATATTTTGGGCAAAACAAAATTTACATGTGAATAAAATAAGAACACCCCCTCAAAAATAAGCAAACAGTACACAATAACATCTAGACCAGAAAACATTGAAATTTGCAGCTGAAGCCTTTTAAGGAGATATACTACAAATTTTACGAAAAAATAAAAATAAAATTATGATGTTAATTCCAGAAAAAAAAAAATGAATAAAAAAATTGATATTTTTTTTTTAAAAAAAGGGATTCAGGAAATTTCATACACGCCCAGCAGATTAAACGGATAAACTAAAACAGAATTTGAGCTTAAAAAGGTATGGATGATAAAAAAAACAAACGAGTAGGAAAAGACGAGGTTAGTTTGACAAATGCAATACATCCTCACGTACAATAAAAAGTTCGGAAAGATATAAATACATCAAACCATACAAACACCTATGATTAGACCTCCATTAACTTAGCCTTTTTCAAACAGAATAATGCAAATCAAGTTTCTTCTCCCTTAAAGCTCCACTACAGCTACATAAAGCCCGGCCTGCGAGTAGATTAATAGACTTACTAAGGCAACATTCAGACAAGGATAGGAGGCCAGAGGAAAGGAACTTAAAATTGTACAATATGCCATAAATTTGATTACATGCCAAAACAGTACAAGAGAAATTAACTACAATTTGAGTAATCTAAACAATGACATTCTTCAAAAAACAAAAAATAAAAAAAAAAATTACAAGATCGTAGAGAAAGCGAAAACGCCTCCTACGAGTGGTTGGTATTTTGCATCGCCACGGGACCCTATAAAGTTTTTAAGTAAAAATTCTAAAACAACATAAGTTCAACTACCTCTTCAACTTGCACATTAAATTTCTTGGCTTTCTTCTTTCGAGCCTCATGTAAGGGCTTCATTCTTTTTGTTCGCCGTTTTCCTTCTTTCATCTTTAAACCTTTCAAGTTTTCGATGGCACTTTCTACATTTTTCATGGTATTGCCATCTTTGGAAATTTCTTCTCTCATTGATGCCTCGTGGACTTTGTCCATGTTTTGTTCAAACATGTCCTCCATTATGTTATGTGCAACCGCACTCTTTGAAGATTGGTATGACATTCTCAAAAATAATGAATGCATTCTTTCGTTCCATTGCATAAAACTATGACCAATATCCTTGTATTTTGAAGGATCAAATCTCCTTGTTTTTCGTTCCCACCGACTTAATATGTACTTATCGGGAAGCTCTAATATATCAAAGAACTTGAACACTCTCAAAATATGGGAGCATATGAATCCTTTACTCTCAAACATCATGCAACTACACGAGAAGAAATCATCGCTAACACGAAGCACATGAAACTCTATGAAAAACACCATGAAGCACAATCACAAACCAAGTAGGCACCTCAATAGCCTCTTTTTCTTTAATTATAGATATCATTGAGCGCTTGTACTCTTCTTGAAAAAGATGAAATATTGATGGTGTGTACCTTTTGGATGCCTTTTAGAATATCGGGCACTCGGCGATGCTCATGGAGGGAACTTGTTGTCGTGCTCTAAATTCAGAAGTCAACTCCTTATCTCTTTTATCAGCCACCACTCGATCAAAATGGTTAAAAAAATCACTGATATGTAAAGCACAATTCAAATGATTTTTTAAGTCCTTATTCAAACTCTCACTTAGCTGCGTACTACGAATACCCAAAGTGAAAACACTTTTCATGAAACACCTTGCCCATTTATTCTTTACAGCATAAGTCCGCTTCAACCAAGAGTTTTCTTGTAAGTTATGCTTTTGTAACATATTACTCCAAGAAGCTTCAAACTCATTAACATCAGTATACTCATACATACATTGATTAAAATCTCCCAATAAGTCGGTTTCATGCCTATGAAAACAAGATAAATGCTTCAGTGCATTTTGGTTAATATGCCACGTGCACAAGCCATGAAAAGAATCCCCCATAACTATACCGAGTGCGTTAGCCATCGCTGCATCTTGATCAGTAAATATGGTGAGAGGTTTTTTTCCACTGTGTTCCCTCAAGAACGTCTCGAAGAGCCAAACAAATGACTCTACTGTCTCGTCATATAAGAGGGCAGCACCGAATACGGTGATCTCTCTATGATGATTAAAACCTGTAAAAACGCCGAGGGATCTCAACTCTTTGTTAGTTCCATATGTCGTGTCGAACGTAATAACCTCCCCAAAATCAACATAATCGGCTTTCATTTTACCATCAACCCAAAATATACCACTCACCAAGCCACCATCATCAAACTCAAAATCATAAGAAAATGAAGCATCTATGGTTTTTTTTTTTTCTCTCGAAATACTTCATAACACTACCAAGCTCACCTAACATTTTTTCTTTCTTTTTTCTATTTCTCAAATATGTTTTTTGATCTTCCTTAATAAATCCAAGATATTCTCTACCACCAGCCTCCCTAATCAACAACTCTTGAGTTGCCTTAGGTGTAATTCCAGAATCATTTGCTATGTTGATGGCAAATGCTTGAGACATGTTTACATTTCTATTACAACGAAACATATGAACGGTTTCACTTGACTCAAGCTCATGATTATAAGTCGCCACAAAATCCTTAACAATATATTTTCCAGAAATTGGGTTTGGTGCTACATTCAACTTTGCTTGGCAACCAGTTCTTACCTGAGAGCGTTGACGGGATTTATCGGTGACCCTTTTGTCCTCTTTACGAAATCCCTCTTTATAACATACGAATACGGCATTTGTAACTACTCCATTCTTTCTCCGTTTGTTTGAATAATCTTTTCGAACACCAAAGCCTATTATTTTGTCATATTTTTGCCAACAATCCCAAGCATCATCTACACAAATGAACTCAGTTTCAATTCGAAGGCCTTCATTGAGTATATCATCAATATATGTAGAGCTCAAGTTGACCTCTCAATATTTGCAGCTTCAATTCTAATAAAATTAAAAAAAAAAATTAAGAATAAATTGTAAGAAATCCACAAAAAAAATACACCAAAGGACTTTCTAAAAGACGAAACACATCAAACTAAGATAAATAAGGATGAACCTAAATAATCAAGTAACAAAACAATTGCATACAAAAAGAAAAAGTCACACATTCAAAAACACAACAATCTACTTTACATACAGATTTTTAAGTTTTATTTTAATCAACAATTGCATTAAAAAGGAAAAAAAGAAGAAAAGTTAGCAAATTATCCTAATATTTACCATTGCAGAAAAGTGCTCCGAATATGGGTCCCAAAAAATTCTATGAACTATAAATGTGTTGAATCTATATGAAATGAAAGATTCTTTTTATATTTTCATCTTCAAATTCTAATTGTACCGATTAGAAAAACACCGAGGGAAAAAAATGCACAAGACATTCAAATAATCCTCAATTCTTGCTTTCCCCTGATATGTACTAGTTGGAAAAAAATATAAGATGGATAGACTGACATAAAAAAAATGGATAGATGAGTATTGTAAAAAAAAATTATACAATTATAAATCAAATGTAAAAAAATTTATATGGACACAAAATTGGAAAATAAATATTATATCCAATTGCTCCTTCCTGATTTATTACCATTTCCGCATAACTCGTAATCTAATCGTACGAGAAAACTAAAAACCCAACTCGAGACAAAAATCATAAAAAAAGTTTTTCTTGGTATATTCCTTCAATTTCTTTCCCTGCTGAAACAAGCAATATCCACATGGTTCTTATATACACAAACTCGCACATATCTATAGTTATCAGAATCGGAATAAAGGTCATCATCATCTGTTAATCCCTGTTTTTGGAACACAAAGAAATACTTGCAGCTTCAATTCAACACTAGATACAAAT